TATCTCGCAGCTATGGACCGGATCCGCGACTCGCTGGCTTACTTTGGTCAGCATAATACTGAACACGTGGAGTACAGTCGCCTGGTAAGACCTTCTTCGCTCCATGAACCCCCGTCCCCTCCTAGAGCGCTCTCTTCAACAACGGATTGAAGTCCCTCCAGAAGTTGTTTGATGAAACCCTGCAGAACTCATTTGCCCCAATTTCGCCCGAAAGGCTCTATAAGCTCGTCGAGAAGGAGGGTTAGTGTCACCACTGTTGCAGTTATTCTTCCTCATCATGTGGGGATTTTTTAATGCCTGTTGGGTTCGACGAGAAGCACCTGTTTAGGTGAAAAATATCATGTTCATCACTGTTTTCTTACAGCGATTCCCTCTTGTACCCCCATTATCCTGTCCTTCATGCTTAATCGATCGGCGGTGGAAGTTGGCAGAATCTTAGTTTGGGTCCCAGATCAGCACGCGAAAGCCCCATACTTATGTAATACAGGACTGGGTGTGATAAAGAGTATATGTTCTGGGCAATACAAAGGGCAGGAAATATAAATAAAAAAATAAAGTTTATAAAAGGTGAAAAAGCCGAAATAATTATTTAAATAATCTAATGTTTGTCAACAAAAAGCGCGCCATAATTAAAAACGTGCAATTATGCAAATACTGGGAAATAAGTACATAAAAAATAGCTAACTAAAACTAAAATGAACTCACTAAAAACGCAAACTAAAGTAGGTTGAACTCACTTTACTGAAGAACAATGTTACACAAAAATAAAGATAGCAAGCATAATAATGAACTGAAAACTGAGCTTAAATATACATAATTTAAGTAAACTAAATAAAATAAACTAATTAAAGATGCTGCGCATGCAAAATGAAGGTGTGCGCGGCCCATCACGCGACGAGCTCTACTTATATAACTCCAGAACGCTAAGTTGGACCTCAGGTAAGTTGAAGTAGACGACCTCTTAACCGCCAATTTTTCTTCAGAAATATCAAGAGATCCAATAAACTATAAAGTATAAGTAATAAATGTAGGTAAATTTCTGTGCTTATTTATGGCACACTACTTTCTTGCGAAAACATGAGATTATTTAAACAATTTATGGGATCTAAACTAGGATTCCACTCAGTAGTTAAAGATCCAGTCAATCAACACCAACGGGACGTCCGCTTTGCCTGACTGAAGCGTCGAAACCTCGAGTTCCAGTGAACCTTGAGATTGAACCTGTTGTTCTGCCTACTTCCAGACGTGTTCTCACGCTTCCTTTTGTCATCCCTCTCTCCCCCCCTCTTAGACACCATTTCTATTGCTGAGCAGCAGCCGTCGGAAGCGGCAGGACCGGAACTTGAACAAGTTTCGCCCGAAGTGGCTCAGCGTTTGCAGCAGATTTCCGCCTGGTTGCGCAAGCTGGACTCCGCGAATGCGACAGCACAGCGTTTCCAAAAAGCCGATGGAGCGAATCTGCCCGACTCGCTGAGTCGTTACTGTGACTTCCGCAAGGATCTTATGCGGCTCTCCCTAGTTCGGTAAGGTGGTCATCGTTTACATTGTTAAACCTATGTCGCCCTCTGGCAGTCCTTCGTATCCCAGTTCCACAAAAATAAGTCGGGGTGTTAGACCAGGGTAGCAGTTGAAAAGAAGTGTGTCGCGTCTTTTTATTTTAAAAAGGGTTTTT